TTCAATGATATGTACTGCCTCAGCTCCCAGCAGTCCAGTCTTTTGAGACTTCAACAGCTGGAGGTTGCTTCTGCACGGTCTTCCTCCAACAAGAATGTGTCTAAGTGTTCCCTGATCCCATTCATATTTTTAGCATTCTAGGTTTCTATGGCAGAGACTTCCACAATTCAGTTTACGCCTCTCAGAGACACGAAAGAAGCCTAGCAGATTTTTGAGGCATTACTTCCCTGGCTACCTGTGCTGACCAAGGCTATTGTATCAATATGCCTATTCGTCATCACACTCACTGGTCCACAACAACTTTTTGAACTCTTTTAAAAGAGCTAAGGTGTAAGTGCTAACTTCCATTTCTGCAGTATTATGCTAGTTGGTGTGTAAAAAAGGTGCTTAAATCAATATTTCATCAATATGATATGAGTTTTGGGATTCTTGGATAAGTTTCACTTCTCCTTCACAGTCCGTCATTACTCATTTACTCCTTCCTCCTCCAAAAATCTTGTTCTTAGCACAACTTGTTCTACTTCCACATTAGTTCCCTTTCTTTCAAGGAAAGGTTACGGTGTGGAAAACCTCCTTAGCAGTGAACATCGCAGTTCAGCTAGCTTTTTCCCCACGAACTTACCTTCCTTGTTCACATTTTTAGTAGTTGTTTTTACATTTTTATTCTCAAAAATCTTTTAATCAGTGTTATTACAGTTTTAAAAGTAATTTAGAGGTTACTATACTTTCTATCCTGTGTCTTTCAACATGACTACAGCTTTCTGAAGGGGTTTTTCTTATCATATATTTCAGACTTCATATTAACTTTTTTAATAACAGAAACCTTTTTTTTTTAAATTTAAAGAAACATCTCCAGTAGAAGATCAGTTCCTTCCTAATAACATTGTTCTACTTATTATTCACCACCTCCTTCATATTGTTGTATTGTGTTGCTAGTGGAAGCTGACTACAGGTAAGTAAAATCATTCAGCAACTATGTTCAGATACTGCTTTGGAAAAAGAGTTGCTTTGTTTACGATAGGTTAATATCACTACCTTAGTTTTATGATCTTTACTTATATTTGTGTGCATGGTTGTTTTAAACAGCTCGAAAAATCAAAACACTCTCCATGACAAAAAAGTAAGCCCTACTCAAACCCAGCTGAATCTCTTCTCAACAGAATAGCAATAGACTCATAATTCACCTCTTCCTGATGAAAGATCAGACTTTGCAGCGCAGAACAGGTAACTGTGGGAAAAGCTGAAGGGACACAAACAAATGATTCTCAGCTAGAAGACTGAATGGGTAGGAGGAGAAGAAATCTGTCTTTACCGACAAGTATCAAATAACTGTTGAACCTATGAGTGCAATTCCTGAAAGGCCAAAGAGAAAACCATTTAAAATATTGTCATAACCACTGCACAGTACAGCAACATTCAGAAAACAAGAGGAAATGATGAGACAACCTAAAAAAAGAAAAATCAATATTTTGAATTCGGTGCTTTTAAGACTGTTCTTTTGATTGTCCTGAAAATGACAGTATTCTGCAAAGAAAGCAGGACAAAGTATAGTGGTTATGATCATATCACCTTGTTTTTGTCAGTCTTTGCTATTTATAACTGACATTACTTCTTACTCTTTTTAATTTACATGTTAATATATATTTCACATTCATAAGGGACAGTTTAACAAAGATGACAGAAATTTAAATATACGATCTTGCTTGTCACATCTACGAAACTGTCAGTGTGAGTGTAGAAATTGGGAAAAAAAAATACATACACCCGCAAGTCTCCAGGCTTCACTTATCACTGCATACTGGAGCCGATTCAGAACAAACCCCTCAATTTCTCTGCTTAGTTTGACAGGAGATTGACCAATCTTCTTCATCAGGGCATACGTTCTCTCTGTAGTAGAAGGATCTGTTTCTGGATGAGGAACAATTTCAACCAACGGCACAAAGTAAGGTGGATTTACCTCAAGAAGAAACATAAAACAAGAATGTCAACTATCAACAGATCAGCAGAACAAGTTATAGCTTGCTACTAGTGTGGATATTTTCCAGTGAGCACAGTAAGCCTGATCTTCAGACCCTGAAAGGCTTCAATCCAATAAAAGCTGGCATATTAATTCAAATTTAAAAAATAATTAATCTTGCATTAAATATACTCTGTTTAACCCCAGACAAATTCATGGAGCTAGACTAATAATGCCAGTACTCAAACAGTACTAGAAGACTTTATACTGACTGGAGTAACTGATGTTTTCTCAATATTCAGGCTGTTTGTTGTTGTAAGACATATGGTCACCACCTGTCTTTCCAAATGAAGCAAGGCATTTCCTTTTAGATATTCAGGAACTTTATAACAAAATTATTGCTGAACATCACCTGTAAGATGCAACACTTAATAGATAAGCTGATATTGGCCCAAGCCTGTAAATACATGCTAAACACAGTAACAGATATCACAGAAAACATACTTTGAAAAAGTTGCAGAACAGGCTACCTTCAATACTATACCTACTTTAAGAAAAAAATTACCTTTCCCTAACTCTTTCCAAATGTAATTTCTCATAAAGTCAAGACTTCTGTGTAATTTATTTTTGAAGTAATAAACAACAAATCTGAAGAACATCCTAGAAACAGCTACAGTTCTTCAGTTCATAGTGTTACAGGCAGTAACACTGCCTGCATGTTCTTTCCAAAAGCAGCAGTCCTTCAGCCATATTCTTAAGGTGTTACACTCCATGCTCTGTCTAGTTTCCAGGCAATAGTAGGAGCTAACATACCATAAATTACTACCAGAAATAACACTGACATTTAAAGAACAGTAATCAAATACTGATTCTTTCCCCGTGCTCCCTTATAGTCAACTGCTCTTAACTGTGCTCATGTAAATGCAAGTACAGGATTTAGTCACAGCAGCACATAAGCAGTCTTTCCTCTCCGCGCGTTCTTTCTTTTCAGTACTTTCATAGTTCCCTTTACTTCAGGGTCTGACCAACGCATAAGCTAATGTAGGTTACAGCTGCCCTAACTACTGATGTAACACACTTCATCCCCTTTGAAATGCCCTGTGTTGCAACATAACCTCTCTGTCTCTTCAGCAGTGCCACCACCAATGCTGAGAACAGCATGATGGGTGCTATCACAGGCGTGATGCCAGGCAATTTAGCAAGACCCTATACACTGCAAGCACCAAGATGTTCTCTGAAGGCTTTTCTAACCCTCAAGTATATCACAGGTTCCAATCAGGAAAAGGACAAGTTAATTGTTGAGAGAGACTGAGGCTACTATAAATTTCTTCCAAGATTAGTGTTGACAGTCTTCTTATTGAAATATTCTATTTCATGAACTTGGCATGGGGAGTATATGGGCGTGTTCGTGAGCACACTGAGGAGACTTAGGAAGACTTTTTTTAAGATTGAGATAATAGATGTTGGTAAAAACTAAAAGTGGTAAAGCTTAGTGGATGAAATTAGGGGTGGGGGAAGTTTTCTAAAAATGAGAAACCTTTCTGCAGGGAGCAGAACTTACCTTATTCAGCCTAACAAATTGAAAGCTAAGAAAACATATGACAAAGTAAACACAGAGAAAGAATTAAGCTACACAAAAGCTTCCGACAAACATCAAGTTGATTTTAATGGACTGTTAATAAGATTGGAACAAAAATTAGAAGACAGAAATAACTTCCATCAGGAGTAGAGGAGTTAAAAAAAAACAAAACAAAACAGATAGAGCATAATACATTTTTAAGGTGATTTGATTACATGGTTTCTCGTACAGCAAGGGACTTCACTCAATGGCACACAGTCTCCTCTAGCTCCGTATCTCTAGCTGCGTGACCTAGCAGGTGTATACAGCACATGAGGAATGAATCGCTCTGCAGCTAACCTCTACAAATACGCTGCCTGAAACTACTTGCAGAGAACAGCTGTACCTACAAGTATTGCATGCACTTCTACCACACACCTGGGCTATGGGATTTAATTTACTTTTTCTAATTACTGAACCTATTGCTGTGTTAAGCAAAAGGATGCCCTTCAGGCATTTAATTATATTTTTCCTCAAGACGCTCACCTGTGCCAGAGGCTTTACAACTTTAGCTTTTAATTTTTCTGGTATATCAAATTCCACACTTCTTGTTTTCACAGCATCTTCCAGAGCTGCTTGCTTCCTGCAGCCACTATTTCCTATGTCCTACTGGTATGTTCAAGATGTTAGTGAGGCCATGGTTAAAACAAATAAAAACAACCCACCAAAAGCCAACAACTACTACAAAGCAAGCATGTTTCCCAATATAACAGATGCAGAAAGGCCCCTGGAAAAGTACACTGCCTCACAGCTTCTCCAGTACACTCCTCTTTGAGTAAAGCTGAGATTACTAAGAAAATAGTCTCTGTTGGACTGCAAAGCCATTTCAGAACAATTAGACATTTTAAGGGGCTCCAGAGTATTTGCTTTGGAAAATAGATACATCCTTACAACATCAACCTAGAAAATGTTTACGCAGACACTAGCTACCTTTCCAGATCTGATAAAACCTGGTTTCAGAAGTGGCTCCTACTGCAGCTCCAACTAAAGAAGTCAACTGGTACAGACCAGCTTGGGAAAATAGTAAGAAAGAGTAATGTAAAATCAAAGACTGACAGTCAGAGAATAGGCAGAAGCCCATGAATTGGTTAAAAAAAAAAAAAAAATCATAGCTATAGTTACTTAATAAAGAAGCCTAGAAGAGACATTATTTCGTCTCTTGCACTACAGAAAGTTACAACCCTGGAAATACACAAATAAGGAACTACTGAATTTTAGACTGGAGACAGGCTAAACCGAGGCACAAATAGTATGACTTTTTTTTTTTTTTTTTTCAAATTAAAAGGGGTTGAAAACTATACAGAGAGAAACAAATCCTTTTGTTTCTTTTGCTTCCAAGTCACCTCAAGGCACAATGGTGGTAGAGGGGTGTTAGAAAAGGACCAACCAAATGCTTTGACACTGCAGGATTAAGCTACAGGTAGCTGTAGAGACCTCAAAGCAGTGCTGTATTTTTGTGTACACACTGCCACTCTTGAGCATGCCCAGGGAGCTGACATTTATTTTATACCCTGAGGGATGCCCTGGAGAGATGACATGTATTTACCAAGTTGCAGACAGCAGAGCAAGTTTCTCCAGATACTGCAAACCTTCACAACGACAGTCCTCTTAACTGATCTCTCAAACACCAGACTAACATTAGGCTAACAAGTTCATTAGCTGTTGAGTAGTGGAAAACAAAAGCAGTAAGAATCCCAGTGATCAAGACAAAACACTCTTCTATGCCTAGAAGAGATGTGATAATGCTGCTGTCTGGCAGCCCCACACAGACCCCTACAGAGGCTCAAAAGTGCTCTTCAGCATTTTAAGGTTCTGCTGCCACCTCTAGTCATGGCATTTCTGCATCGCTGCCCTGCCCCAGCTGGTCACAAAACACGCAAATTCAGCTCCAAGTACAATTTATCCCATTTTATCCACTTGCTTTTCCTCTTTAGGTACACCGCTTCTTCATCAGAAGTCTGAAGAAACAAGAGTAAAAAGCTTCCATCTTTCATTGACATTACCTGACAAGCAGGTACCCTACTTCTACACATGCAGCTCACTGTTTGGATCCTTACTGTAATCCAAAAGCAGCTGAAAAAGGATACTAGAAAAGACTACGATGCCATAAGAAGAAAGTAGTGAGTTTTATAGGTTTGTCTTCAACACACAAAATTCCTACATTTTGAGAGCCAGTAGTTTGAGTAACACACAATATGAGCACAACAGCTTATACAGAATGTACCTTGAGCCAACAGGATGAAACATGCATACGTCCTCTCAATTTAGTAGATGCTGCTGCTCACAGAACGACCAAACTAAGCTCTTCTGATAAGTCAGGCCCCTGCACACTAACAATGGCACACAAGCACTCCAAACATCCTTCTATATCTCTCAGTCTGCAGGGAAGAGTTTGGGATGCAGTCTAGTTAAACACCCGTACTACTACAAAAACAAAACATGCCATTATACTTACTGGATGTGACACAATACACTGCTTAACATGTTTAAGGCCAGTGAACAATTTGCTGGGTAAGAGACATGAGGTCGAGCTGCTCAAGATAACATTGTCACCAACAAGAAGGTCTAACTGACTGAAAATCTTCTTTTTCAGTTCCAGGTTCTCGGGAGTACATTCCTGGGAAAAAAAACAAACCAAAACAAAACAAAAACAAAACAAAAAACACAAAAATCAGTACAAGTCTTCTAGTTCAATAGTATTTATCCATATATTTCAGACTTCACTGATCCCACCTTGACACCTAGGAACTCGGCACAAACCATCTATTTTAATCGGCCTAGATATACCAGTGAGTCATAACACAAAAATACCTTCCCACATATAAAGAAACAGAAAGCCCAAGAGTTTCTCTATAGCAGAAGACGGACCACCACATACCACATTTAACACAAACCAAATTACTCTGCTTTGTCTAAAACATAGACTTCTACTCACACATACAGATAAGACAGCACGGAGGAATAAGACCTAGTCTCCATTTTTTTAAGAGAATCTCACATGAGAAAAGTCAGTATTCTCTCTCAGACAAGATGGAAATTATAGGTGTGTCTCATAAGAAGACAAACTTACGACCTCCAGAACTGTGACAGGAGATTCCAAGGTACAGTTCTGGAACCTGCACTGAAACACCTCTCAGTGATCCTCACACTTTAAATTCTCCATTCACTTTAGCTCTGAGAGATTTCTGAAGCAGAATGTGCACTACCAGAACTTCTCCCAAAGCTATTGAGCACATTCAGCTCTGCAGTATTGTGTGAAATTTCACATGTATGAGCCAAGAGCCACAATCTACAGTCACTAGAATTTCAAAGTTATCCTCAGGAGCTGCCTGAAGGAGAGCATGCAGAAGTCCACCAGTCTGGGAGCAACAAGGACATTGGAGAATAACTACAGCAGATCCCACAATCAACAGGAAAGACTTCAGTCTACGAGAAAAAAAAACAGGGGAACAAAGCCAGCTTGTTTTCTGTGGTTTTTTGAAGGGTTTAAAAAAATCCAAACAGGATCCCAAACTTGCAAACCCTCAACCTTCCCCTTAAAACACACAAAAAATACCTGCTCTCTTCCACCTCTAACCTTCTCCCACCTGTCAGTACTTCATTCTGTCCTTCCTGTTATGCTGAACCACACACGAGGGTAGGGAAAAAGACCATACATTTAATATAATCCAAAATTTACATTTAACACCTACTGTTTCAGACAGACTCTGTGGCAGGGATGAGGCCAGAGTTTTTAGCCCAGTAAATGCATTAGAAGTAATTTAAAGTCTTAAAAAATAAGCAAGTTGCATGTAACAGTACTAAAAGTTCCACAATTCAGAGACAAACAGGGTAATTTAAGAATTCCAGATAAAGCCTAAAGTAATACACAGCCTTATCAAAACAAAATGATACTCTGCTTATAATTCCAGGATCCCTGCTTGCTGGTTAAGTTCAAATAGTTTCTTTCAGTAAAGCCAAAGATGAAGAGAACTCTGCAGATACTGTTCAAGCTAGTAAAAGAGTTGCTCTGAATAGCTTTATTGTGAACTTGAAACTCTAAGCCTCCTCTCACATCAGATGATAATCAAAAAGGCAAACTCAAATCTGCTGGAAACTCAAACCTGCCACGGTTACGTAAGGTTTCTGAATGGGCTATTTGCTTGAAGTTTCTTGTATAGTGTCACAATTGTATTCAGATTGTTGGACCACTGCAATAAAGTTTCTGTCCTCATCAAGCACGCAATTATTTTCTCAGAGACACCAACTCCCTGAAGAACAGGGAGAAAATTAAGCTCTAAACAATCCATTAAACAGGAACCTCACTTGCTGTCAGTTATGGGGCCTGGAGAGGTCTGAAGCTATTCTGTTTACCCTGAGAAAGAGAAGATCAAACAGTGAGCAGATAAGATACAGTTTTAAAGCTACCACAGTCTCTCTCAAAGAGTCAGTGCACAAAGGTTAGCATACACCTCTACGCATTTTAAGTGACACTGTATATTTCTGTGCCCTTTTTGTAGAGAAGATCACACTTCTCGTTTGCAGTGAACAGTACACCTTTATTCCAAGGCCTCAATACTTGAACAAGGTTGCTACTAATCTGACTTCCAATTTAAACTTTATTAGATATCTTTTTTAACAGCCTGACTACAACATGACAGTTGTTCATTTTAAAACCCACCTCCTGAAAGAGCTGTATTTAATTAAAGGCTTAAGGGCAATAAGCATTACACTGTTCAAATACATGTTCAGAAAACACATAGCAGCTACCTGACCAGCCTGTGAACTCTTAAAGAACTACACAAAGATAAACACGTACTAGACGCTCTCCCTATCAGACAGCACTGATATCCAGACAAGGTGACTGAGGTCTAGTTGCCCCTAATTAAAAAGTTGACACAAGCCCTTGAATGCCAGTACATGGAAAGCTAGGGAGTTTTCCCTGTTTAAATCCAGTGTCTTCGTGGTTTTGTACAGCCCTTTCCCACCACGCTACCTAACATTTGTGCTCCCGCTCATCTACAAGCACAACTTCATTTACCTATATTTAAATGCTGGCATCTATCCAGGTTCTTCCTATCCATTCTCAGATATGCCAAGGGAGCAACTCACCTGTACCACCTTCTAGGAAAACACTATCTTGCAAAGTATCTTCTCCTTACACTAGCAATGGGAATCACTGACAAGGCCGCGGATTTATTAGCACTGGGAGGTGAAAGAAACAAAGCATGGCCTGAAGTAAAGCACCGCAACACAGTGGTATGGTCCTGAAATAAGTGGTATTGTCCTATACAAGCATGTCAGTATAAGATGAAAGCCAAAGATTTCAACTGGCATGTAGAAGGTCAAAGATTAGTAACCATTCAGCAACAAGCAAGCCACTTTTGTAAGAGCATCTAGAGATGCTGTTCCAAGGAGCAGCATCAAGCCCTCTCAATAGCAAGTATGGAGTCTGATGGGAGTCGCCAAGTATAAGGAACTGCTGAATAAAGAAGTTTGAAAGCCTTAGCTGCACAATGATCAGTTCCCACCTCCTGACCAGATTCCGTCTGCTGCATATTCAAAACATAATCATGAAAACATTTCTTCCCCAGCAATCCTAATACAAAGATTTATGATAACATAAGTTCCTGCAAGTGAAGATAGATCAATCTCAAGCTCTTCTAGATGCCTCTTCATTCTAGGACTGTATCCCATGCCATGAGATTCTTCCAAGCAGATTTTGGCCTCTACAGGCCAGTTTTCCCCCCTGAAGTCCTGGGCTGTGATCCCACTTTTTGTCTTGCTTCTCCTCTCAGGATCCTCAACTCCACCATTTCATGGTCACTGCAGCCAAGGCTTCCCCCTAACCTTCCCATCTCCAACCAGTTCTTCCTTGTTTGTAAGTATGAGGTCCAGCACAGCACATCCCCTCTCCTGCTCCTCAACCACTTGTGTCAGGAAGTTACCATGAATGCATTCCAAAATCCTCCCAAATCGTTTGTGCTCTCCTGTGCTGTCCCTCCAGCAGATAGTGATGTGGTTGAAGGCCCGCCATGAAGACAAGTGCCTATGACTGTGAGGCTTCTTCTAGTTGTCTGAAGAAGGTCTTCTCTTCCTGATCAGGTGGTCTGTAGCAGACATCCACCACAATGTCTTCCATATTGGTGGTCCTGTTAATCCTGACCCATAAACTCTCAACTGGCTCCTCATTCAAAGTGAGGCAGAACTTTGTGCATGCTAGCTCACAGCAGGCAGCTATTCCTCTCCTACCTTCGTCTTGCACCACACCTCCAAAACCTGTACTTCACTGCCTTGCTGCAGCTGCTACAGCAAGAGTGCTCTGTAGCCTTGCCCTAACCACAACTGAAGTTGAAAATTATTTCAAGAGTTCTGTGACTTCCCTCTTCCCAGTAAATTCAATAGGGCTTCAAGTAGCAGGTAAACTGTTTAGAAGCCATAACCACTTTGATTGCTACAAGGACACTCTTCGTCTTCCGCAGTTGAGGATCTCCAAACATGCCACAAACCCTGGCTCTGTTCCTCTATTTATACACAGACAATTTACGGCATTTTAAGTGGTTTCAGTATTTCAGTGCTGCGATTTAGCTGACAATTTTGAGGCACTTCCGTAGAACAGTTCCCAGAGTCAAGTAACAGCAATCCTCTCCTCTCATAGAATGAAGCAGCTTTCAGAGCACCAAACCATCTCACAAGCTGGACCCAGCACTCCTGTGACAGGAACTCCATTACATCCAGCTTTTTGTGGGAATACAAAGATCTTCACAGGATTAAGAGACAGAGTTCTGAATCTCAGAAAAGCAGCTTTTCTGAAAGTTTTAGTGCCTAATCCATTTATACAAATACTTTCATTATCTTCTATAGCTATAATCCACTAGAAAAAGAACTTCAGGCGTAATTGTTCTATTTTCAATCTACCAAGTCACTTTAGAATGTCTTATTTCTAAATAAAGCCAAAGTAACATAAACCTACATAAAGCAGGGACCTGTGGATTTTAAACAGCATTCAGGTTATCTGTATAAAAACAAGCATTAAAAATACCTGAAAAAGAGACTTGGAAATTTAATTAAATGAAACACAGATTTCAAAGCACTACTACTATAGCTAGTGACTGTACAGTCAAATACAACTATTCCATATCATTTTACCACATCTAAATAATGATAATGAAAAGATTCTTGTAAAAACCTTGTTGACTTCAGAAAGAAAAAGTACATATGCTAAAATAATCTCTATGCAAATTAAACTGCGCAATTTTACAACCAATTCTGTTCCTAGCAAAGTTGAGGTTACTAAAGTTATCAAAGCAAGATTATTTGCTCCACTTGTGGATGCATACAGACTGCTGTGTTTCTATCATTACCACCATTTTATAGAATCCATATCAAACCCAAATTATACTTTAAATAAAAGTGTTTAAATGCTCACTACTGTCGTTAGTATTCCAGTGCTAATTATTATTCCTTCTATTTAGGCTTTTGTATTGACATCCTAGTTTGGCCTTCCCCTGCAGGGTTTACATCTGTATTTCTGTCCTGGAAGACTGAAGGTGCACCTTCTGTTAAGGAAACTGGAGCTTATTTCTTTCATATTTCATGTCAGACACTGATGTGCATTTCTACTCAGTAAACAAGAGT